AATCTCGGGCCCCAGTTCAAATTCAGCCTTCATGTAGTACCGTTGAAGATCACTGCTACCTCCCAACTCGGGACTTCTCAAATGGGCTTCGATCTCCAGTTTTGTGACCTGTGCTATGCACAGCCCACAGATTATAGCCTTCCAGAATCACCTCAACGGTGCCACCCAGACACTGTCTCGACAGATCCTCCATGGGCCAACCTTAGTGAAGATCATCACAGACTTTTCCCATATTACAAAAGCGCCATCTCTGGGATTTGAACATGAGATCTTCCCATAACATTTGGTAAGGGTGACAACTAGACCACTTCACTAAGTCACCACACCTCATTTTATTTTATTTATTATTACTAATTTAATTAAATTTCACTATTATAATTATTTAGTCACCAGGAACACTCAGTATTGTTCCGCATATAAATCAATTCCTTATAAAGTGGTATTCAGACAGCTTCCTCACTGCGATACTAATTTAATTGATATATATGAAAGCGAAGAGGCATTGAATAATCAGGCTTTAATATCTGAAGGTTCCCAATCAGCAACTATTTCTGACAATAGTAGTGAAATGTTAGAATCAGAATTTTATAGTGATATAGAACAAATTCAAGAGAATTATAGTGATATAAATATGGGTAAATTTCAAAATATAGATGATTTATATGACTATTATATAGATGAACCACAAAATATTGATGAGCCATATGATCAAGATATGAAAGTACTACAAAATAACAATGATCTATATGATCAAGATATTGATAATGATAGTGCACAAAAAATTTATGATGATTTATTATCATTATATTATTCTGAAACAAGAGAGAGCTCTAAAAATACATTCTTCAGGACTTACTGAAATTATCGATTTAGATAATAATTTCGAAATTAGAGAGTATTCTACATATATACTAGCCCTGAAAGTTATTGAAATCATTGATTCAGATGATGATTCAAGTAATAATTGATATTATACTGCGCAAGAAAAAAAGAAATGATGAGCTCAAAATGTAAATTAAATTATTAAATTATTTATAAATAAATTAAAAATATATTAATAGGCAAATTTTTTTAGCCAAATGTAATTCATTCATCTTTTGAAAAACATGAAAAACATTACACTTTGCAAGAAAAAAAGAAGCAGCAAGCTCAAAATAAAATTAAAGTTAGTTAAATTATTTACAAATAAACAAATAAATAAATTAAAAAATATTAATAGACAAATTGTTTTTAGTCAAACTCGACTTGTCTATCTTTTGAAAAGCATGAAATGATTCGACAATCAGCAATTTTAAATATAAAAAGAAACTGAGATCTTATACGAAGTAGGATAGAAGAAAAATTCAAGGTTAAACATGGTCGAATATTTGAGCCTGGTGAATTTATAAAAATTCGTATACCTGAAAATGACAAGAAAAAATTAAGTCAAAAATCATTACCCTGCAAAGTGCTTCAAAAAAAGCCTAATATAGATGTATATCAATTTGCTTGCCAGTATGGAATCATTGATAATTGGTTTTTGATATGTGAACTTGAACCACTTAAAACTTCTAATTATCCTTCTCTTAATATAGTTCCTCTGAACAGAACTATTTCATTAAGAGAAGCAAGCTTTAAACAAACTGATAAACTATTAAAGCAATCTCCACACCAAAATAATAATGGTGATGATATTTTTATTAAGTAAGTAATAATTTATTATAAAAACTTATTAATATTACAATAAGCTAACAATTAATTATATAATATAGCAATAATCAACTATTTCAAACATATCATTCAAACGCAAATAGTTGTAGATGCCAAAAAACCAACTGCTCTTCTAAGGCTTGTTCTTGCCAAAAAAATAACTTACTATATACAAGACAATGTGGATGTGTTCTACGTAGTGATTGTAGAAATCAATAAGATTCTTTTTAAATTTATAGCAAATTTTTTATATGCTTTTATTGTGCTTTTTTTTTTAGATTTATGCGAGTTTCTTTTTTTATTTTTATATGTAAAATTTTATATAATGCATTATAATATAATTAATATTTTTTATTAGATATACAGTTTTTAATGCTAGTTTATATAGTGATAGAGAAATTTTATTACTCTTTTATATTTGTTTGTTCATTCATTCATTTTCTTTTTAGAATTAACAGGATAGTGAATTGAAAACTGATGCAGGATCTTTTTTTAAAAAAAATCCATTACATTGATATCAAAAATAGAACAGCAAAAAAATTGAGACAGCAAAAAAATTAGGACAAAGAAAAAAATAGAATAGCAATAAAATAGAACATCAGAAAATTGAGATGTCAGAAAAAGTAGGATGTCAAAAAATGTGAGATGTCAGAAAAAATGAGATGTTGGAAAAAATGAGACGTCAGAAAAAATGAGATGTCAGAAAAAATAGGAAAGAGGCTTTTTTTTAAGTCTTTTCACACATTTTGTGGAATATATTTTTATGATCCATGGTTGCTTATAGATTAAATAGCCTTAAAAGATTTTGAACTCTGTTTTTTTTTTTTTTTTTAATTGCTAGTAAATTTAAAATAACTTGGATCAATTTGAAATCGACCTAAATTGTAAAATGAATCAGAACATATTATATGTATATGTAATTTCTTTGACCATGCTAATTGTTCAACTCATTTTTACTTAAAAGATACTTTTTTTACTTAACTTGAATGAAGATAACTCAGAGCTAAATTTTTATTATTTATTTGTGAACTCATTTTTTTCATAAAGAAAAAAATTTGGATTTTAATTTTGTTATATTATACTGATCTTTAAATTTATCTAATATAGTTTATAATATTTTGACAGTTTGAATTAATAACTAAAAAATGTAGTGATGCTGTAAATATCATTCTCATCTATTTTCTTAATTCATTTTTTTTAAAAATATATTCAAAATTTTTTTATAAACTTTATTAAAAAATTGGATTGGTTCTTTTTTAAGTCATATTATAGGTCGATAAAGTTATTTAAATTTTAATTTATATACTGTACTTATGTTTAATAAAAAAAATTTTAATTTATAAATCACAAAAAATAAAGTATAGCCAAATATGATCAAATCATTTTATATATTCAACTTTAACCTCATAATAATAAGCCTTTTCAAATTACTAAATACAATAGCTTTTTTATCATAATTTAAAACATAGTCAGACAATGATTGAAATCTGTGGCTTAACCTGTCACAGATTACAGAGGTGCTTTATTATGTATCAATAACACAGGTTGCGTCATGCACCAGGCATCATAAACTACAATATGTTAGAATTTATAATTTAAATGTATAATATTATGATTACTAAAATCAAAAAAAAAGATAGAATAAAAAATTCTACAAAAAAGTTTTATGTTTGTGGCATGTAAGGCTCTTATTAAAAGAAATCTAGTTAAACTTTACAAAAGTTGCTGAATCTAGTGCTTGGCAAAACAAAATTTTTTTAAATCAATCTAGCAATTTGGTAATGTGATAATACAGTAATACTGTATTGCTCATAGGAAAACTTCATATGATTAGCAGTTTAAATCAATTTAAAGTAATTTTTTAAAAAAATAAACCTAGAAGAATAAACAAAAAAGAAGTATATATAAAGTTTTATTAGGGTTTTAGGACTCCAATATTAAAAATAATAAAATCCCTTTTTGCTTTAGAGAAGTTAGCATTATATATAGGTGTCTAAATTGTTCATATTAATATTACTATTTCGGCGAATTGGCAGAACTCTAATATACTAACTGATCTGTATAATTTATTAATTTAATATAATTATTATTACCCTTAAAATGATTAATTTAGAATCTGATTAAAAAAGGCCAATTCTGCTGATCTGCAAAAATGTGGTATTTAGACAGCCGAAATTTTTGAACTCTTTTCATCAAAATATATCATATAATATAGTTATTTCGAAGGGCTTCATATAAAAAATTTAGCAATGCCAAAATGTTTGCCAAAAATATGATTTTTCAAAAATAATTTAGGCACCCATGTATAGTTAGCATAATAGCAACTTCTTAAAAATAGATAGAATTAGGTTATCACTATGCTAACTTCTCTAAACAAAAAAAGATTTATTATTTTTAATAGTGGTGCTCTACAACTTTAATAAACCTTTCTATATACTTCTTTTTTGTTAATTCTTTGTAGTTTTATTTTTTTTAAAAAGTACTTTAATCTGTATAATTAATGCAAAATTAAATTGATTTAAACTGCCAATCATACGAAAGTCTTCCTATGAACTGTATTGTTTAAAAGCCAGCCCATCATATATATTTAAGTATTGGAAAAGGGACTTCTCAAAAAAAATGTACCTAGTGATCATCAAACACAAAATAACATTATTTGTTTACTAGTACTAGCAAATTGGCCTAAACTATATAATTACCTAACCCTAATACTAGCTCTAGCTTAGGCTGAGTGTTTAATTATAGTATGTGATGATCACGAAGATATTACTGGGTTCACTGTTCTTGAAACTACCCAAAAAAAAGTTTGATTTTGCTGAGCATTAGCTAAACCTAATAAACATGATCGAACAATACTTGGCAAAAATGTAATTATTGCAAAAAAGGTTTCGATTTAGTTAAACAATAAAAGGTCATTTATTAAAATATAAAAAACTTTAATGAAATATAGAAAATTTAGGTATGTGAGTGGAAAACCTGTATATAAAATTTATACTAGAAATGGATATATATATAATATTACAAAGTGTGGTTTATAGGCATTTTTCATGATATATGTTCACTAAATCTTATAATTGATTGGACAATATATTAAATACAGTAAAATGTGAAATTCTGCTTCACAATATTGCTATTGTTATTTATAGTATAAGATTTGTTTAACTATAATGAATATTCTTTTTTATTGCTTTAAGAGTAAAAAATACAATTTGCAAATTATATATAAAACTAATAGTAAAATTTTTACTTTTTAAAATAAAAGAAAATATTATTAAGTAAACTATTTATAAATTTTTAATAAAGTTGTAATGTAGAATTTTTTGATTCTAATGATAATAAAATTATCAAGATTGGTTAGATATTCAGTGAAATATATTAATTTAAAGATTAAGTATTGCAAAATCATATGATGATCATATGATATAAACCAATCAAAATTAATGATTTTGTGTAATCTAAGAAATTTGTGTCAATCTAAAAAAACTTTACAATATATACAAGTCTATTTTTTTAAAATATTTAATTTATTAAAACTTTTACTACTATAAAGAATACATTTTAATATATATATTGTAAGAATTTTACAAAATTTAATTAAAATAGTAAAAAGTTTTATTAGTAGCATATATTTATTTTTTGCAAAATCATGTTGTGACATAAAAATCATATAAATAATCTACATATACTTTACTCTTAACAAGTTTTTGTCTCAATTACAGAATTAAATTAAATAACAATCATTTATTAAAATGTGCTATTTTTTTATTATTATCATTCATAATTGAACTAATCTAATATGGATTTGTTGTTCAAATATCGATAACTAATAAAGGGAGATTCCAAAATCCTGGGTTAGAATGTATCAGAACCCTGGCATATGGGCTGAAATTGATTGATTTTCTCAAGATTACCAAGATTTACTAATAAAATCATAGTTATTCATTAATAAAAATATCTAGCTGATAATTTTACTTTAGCTTCAGCTAAGGAAAGTGCTGTTTATTACATAATTTCAAGATGGAAGTAGGTTACTAGTAGGGATAGGTTATAGCTGACTAGCTAACTAGCTATAGCCATAGTTGATAAGATCAGCTTAGCTGACTAATTAGCCAATACCAAATTATTTATTTACTGGCTTATAATTTGTAATTATTGCTTTAATTCAGAATT